TGGGGGCTGGGCGAGCGGCTGCCGAAGGAGCTCTCCTGTGCTGTTGCTGTCGGCTGGATCTTGGAACTGATTTTCCGTTGTGTTCTTAGGTGCGGTTAGGTGCAACTTTGGGAATTTGCTGTTTGTGGAAAAAGCTTTTGAAGTGAAGGTGGTATGAAAAGCTGCTTTAAAATCGCTGCACGGACCCTTGCTGCGGAGGGTTGCAGCTGACTGGTGCAAGTTGCTGCTGTCGTGCTAGTGTTCTCCAACTGGCTCTTCGGTTCTGAAATTTGTGTCCCTTGGTGAGTGCAGGACTTGTCCTCGTACCTCACCTTATACTGGGAGGAAGATAAAGAGGAGCTTCATCTCAGCCCTCTCCTCACCAGGGGAGCGTCTTAACTTAGAAGCAAAGCACAGGAACCAAGAACTTGTCACGACAGTAAAAGGGCTGTTAACTAAACACTGGTTTTTAGTTATCTTTTTAAACTAGGATTGTAATGCGTGGAAGCATGTACATTGGAATGTATGTAATGGATCAGTGTAATTGCTCTGTTCTTTTGTTTGTTTGTAGAGCTGCTAGAAACACTTGGATGACTGGAATTCAGGATATCTGGTTCGTGCTCTTACCCTGAGGTAGAGGAAATAAGCACAAGAAATTTCTCTAGTTCAGGCAAGTAAATATCTATACCTCCATAGCTTGTATGAAATTAAGTTCTTGGTAGACAGATGAAGTGGGAGAACTGTCCAAAAGTGGAGGAACTGATTTGCTTTGCTACAAAATACAGTTTAAAAGGAACATAAGAATTTTAATAATATTTTTTCATTATTTCATAGCTAAAGGATCTGTCATACTGAACCCTGCTTTGGAAAACTGGGAAGCCTCTTCTGTGTAGACTTGAAGTAGACTTTTGACAGTTGTCTTGAACAAAAATCAAGGCAAAAATGTCCGTCATAGATCCTTATCAACACATTGTGGTAAGTAGCTTTGAATCTTCTGTCTTGTATAATAGATACTGTCTCATATAGTGTATCCTACTAGGAGTTACTCTCAGTAGGCACACAGCATTAGAGTTACCATTAATTCCTTAAAGAAATGGTAAGTGTGGTTACAGAAAATTTCTTCAGAAACTTATTTAAATGAAATCTGATTCAGTTTAGCTTTTTGAAAGCACATCATGGCTTAAAAGCCATGTGTAAGTCAAAACGGAGTACAGGCTCCTAACTTCACCTCATGGGTATGGCGTCACAGGGTATTGTTCTAAAGGACTTGCCTGTTCAAAGTGTTTCATCAGAGTGCACGTAGTTCACTGTTTCATACAAGTTTTTCCACACACTGATTGTCACATTGAGCTGTAGTCTGCAGAAGTAACATCATGATCTCAAACGTATCTGATTGGAGTGAGCCAGTTGACCCTGTGGAATTGGGAGAAAAGCAGTTCAAAGCAAATGATTGCTGCTCTGCTGTCAGAGCTGGCCCAAGGGAAGGGTACGACCACGTGAGCACAGAAGTAGGGGCAAGGCTAGGAGGAGCAGGGAAATGGGAGCAGAGCTGCCCTTTGCACGGCCAGCCAGTGGAGTGGCTCAGCAGCTGGTTGAATGCTGGTTTTCAGCTGTAATGCTCACTCGTGTATCTTTGAGTGACTTTCCACAGTAAAGACTGAAATTGCAATTCCTATTCAGACTGAAATCTTGAAACGAGCTGGGTGTGTGCATATCAGGCGCTTTTCGTAACAGTCCCAGAATCTCACGGCAGGAAAAGTGATATGTACTCAAAGATAGTTACCATACACTTGTCACAATGCTGAACTTTTACGCTGCTAAAAATACAGCATACGCTTCCTTGAAATGATCCCTTATCAATTCTGTGGTTCCTGCCCACACAGTCACATCCTTTGTATGAATGTGCAGCCAGCAGATGTCGAACTGGTGTTTTACTCACTCTGTAGTTCTGTGACCGCTGCTGTAAAGACAAGTTTCAGGTTGACGTCTGGATTGCACAGCATTAAAGCAACACACCACCTTCCTCCTCGCCGCATCAGTGCCCTCCCCTGGATGGAATGCCTGGCCTGATCCGTGCCTGGAGGGAAGAGGTCTCTGAGGCACTCGGTTGTGTTTTGTGGAATCATTCACGTAACATCTTTTTTGATACCGATACATATACCGTAATGAACAAAACGCAGCCTTAGAAGTTTGCGTCGCTGCAGTCCTCTGGCAGTGCCGAGCGGCTGCTGGGGGAATGTTCCCAGCGCAGGAAGGAACGCTGGTGGTGCCAGAGCTGATCCTGTAATTGCTTGAAAAGTGAATGGGAATCCTCGAGGCTTCTTAATTTGAAAATTGTAATTGCATGGGAAGTTTTACTGAAATTTAGAACAGTTAAGTGCAGCAGGGTCATATCAATGCAAAAATCTTGAAATTTTTTTTAATGACATTTGGCATTAAATGTCTGAAAAGAATTGTGCAGTTTCCGGGAGTCCTCCTTGTGTTTTCCAGTCTCTTTATTTTTCTTTTTTTTTCTGTTTTATGAGAGGCTTGGAATAAAATAAGGTGTTCACAAAGTTACTGCAGGTACAGACAGAAATGACTGTACCAAAAACGTTTTTAGATTTAGGGAATAAAGAATTAAAATGCATAATACATCTTCAGTTACGTTGATAGATTGCTATGTATTATAACAATGGGGTAAAATCACTTCAAGATAAAATTTGTGTGTGTATGCACAAATGTTTGTCTTAATTCATGATATCCTGTGAAAGAGGAGCATGGACTTTATGAAAATCTCTTACTTAAGAAAGCTGGCAGACGTTTTCATTTGTCCAGCCCAGCTGTCAGCTCAAGCATCCTTAATGTTAAGGAAGTAAAAGTAATAAGTGCTTGTTACACAATCTGTCTATACCAGAGCTTCCTGATTGGTATTCATGTGCAAGTATATCTCCTGATTGACTTACCTTCTGTGACTCAGCATTCTGGGATATGAAAAATGTTATATTCAGTGCATGCAAATCCCTCACTTTCTCAGTAAGAGTGGAGAGTAGGTGCTACGGGAGACCTTAGCACGTTGTTCTGCTTCCCAGTCCCCCAGTGGAAAGGCAGTAGTGTTTGTGTACGTACAAATGTGGTGATATGTAAAACAGGAGATCTGATAATCAGGGAAATTTGACTGGGAGGAGAAAGGCACATGGAGGTGGGAGCGGAGCAAAGGAGGCAGGAGGAGGAGTTGGAGATGGAGAGCTGTGGTGTGTGAACAGGAGAAGCTGAACTACGGCTGTGCAGGGTACTTGGAAAACGTTGTGGACTGAACCAGCAGAGAGTGACTGCCGTCCCCAGGAGCTTCTGTAATTGAGAAAACCCATATTCAGAGAGGGCATGTTGACAACTCCTTTCTTTCTCCTTTCTTCTCTAAACTTACGGAGAAAGAGGAAGTGAAGTGAAGCACATACGTAAAGCTGGGTCACTTTGGGTGATAGGATTTAGGTTTTTGAGTTAATTATGAGCTTCTGAAACTTTGAACCTGGCTTAGATTTTTAAAGATATGCAGATGTTGCTCCACTCAGTGTTGCAATGTTGAAGTGATTTATATATCATCATCTCTTTTTCAAAAGTAATTGAGGAGTTGGCAATGTACAGATTTTTATCAAGACTTAAGGTGAACATAAGCCACCTTAGAAAATGCAGCTTAGTCATCTAAACCAGCAAGGGCTGGATTTATAAAGGTATTTAAAGTCAGTATATTTCTTGTGGTATTTTCAGTGGACATCTAACTTTTGCAGAACTTGGGTCTTTCCACAAACTAACCAAAATAATGTTTCTGAAAGTTGTGCTAGCTGTTACTATGGACATTTAGGCCTCTTAATACCCTTAGAAACTGGATCCTAACTGGAAAATTGCCTTAATTTCTGATTGCACTGAAGTTGCATGAAGAATGTTTATTTTGGGGTAAGAAAAGATCTAGACTTTTGAGCTTCCTGTGTGTATCTGTGTGGTGTTTTTTGTTTTTTTTTTTTATGAAGAGGGAGATCATTTGTTTTAATATCGTTCTGTTGCAAATGTCTTCCAAGCATGTGATTATGGCCAAATATTAATAACTCTTTAATTATAAGCCTCAGTGTGTTATTTCGGGTGAGGTGCAGGGAAAGAAGATAGTGGTTTTTCTGTCTTGCCAGACCTCTGTGTACTCGCGTTCGTTGCAGAGGATACCAGGTCTTAAACCAGACTTAACTTCCGTGGCAGAGCAACAGCTGGAATGACAGGGCTTGCTGCTTAAGTCAATCAAAAGCAGTTCTCACAGTAGTGTTTGCCGAACAGTTATCAGCTCGTAGTGGAAAGTAGTGACAACCTCTGTACTGCTGAAATGGGAATACACTGGTGGTGGTGGTGTGGCCTGGTTTGGATGGTAGGCATTTTGTTTAGGCATAGGAGTTTCATGAGTAGGACTAGGAGATGCAAGAACATTACTTTATAGGAGTGTGTTTTGTCAGCAAGCATCTCGTAGTATCCCCATTTTACAGCCAGGACTCTGGGGCACCAGAATTGCATGCGAATTCCACGTAGCTGCTGAGAACTAAATCCAGCGCACCCATGTCCCATACTTGTGGCTCCATCCTTCCCTTGGTTGCTAAATGTTCAGTGATCTCTGATTTGTGGTCTCTAGTGAGGACAGGCTCTTTCTTGACAGCTAAGAATAAGGTGAAGGGTGGTTTGTTTATACTTTGGGCTGTTTCTCTTAATTATAAGGTTGTATATGACAAAGGAACGACATCAGTCTGTGAGCAAACTCTGGGCCAGGGCCGTGTTGTGAAACCGACCCTTCAGCGAGCTGACGTGTGTGAAGGTGGCACACTGCTCAAACAGCTTCGAGCACAGGGGCAGTGAGAGGAGTCGTTTTCTGGAGACTCACAGCTTGTAAAAATTCTTGAAGCGAGGCAACGTAGCTGTGCTCGCAGTAGTACCAGCTGTTCCCAGACTGTCACTAAAATCCCTGTTTACTCTGCTGGATGGGAAACTCCGGGCTTGTTTTGCCACGTGGCAGAGGCAGCAGTTTGTTCAGAGAGAAGTCCTCTTCCCGTTTATGCATCAGCTCTGGAGGCTGTGATGCAAAAGGTGATGGGTGTCACAAAATCACTGGTGTGTCTTCGTGCCAGTGCAAGGCAGGTGGGTGAATAGGTGCTGCTTCCTAACAGCTTTGAGTTGGCACATCCAAACCCTTTCTGTGGGGCCTGATACGCTTAAGGGGAGGGAACAGTCCTGGGCTGGGAGAGTCTGGCTTCCCTCTTTACTGTGGCTGGCAAACCACTTGCTGTGCAGTGACCATTTCAGCGTACCACTTGTAAGGTTATAGTTTGCATTGCCACAGTTTTTCCCCCTGCCTGCTGACTTGTTCTTTGAACCAGACAACTACAGCTCATAGGGGAAAAATTACAGAGTTGAAATCTACTGCTGGGCAGACCATCGTGAAATGAGCCTCCAGCAGTCGTCACAGCATGTGGGTGATTACAGCCTTAATGAAGGTGCAGCAGTTCAGTGTCTGGGCCGGCCAGTGTCTACGCAGGAGTCACACCCTCGGAATCCCCTTGGGCATTTTCCCCGAGGTTGCAGACCTCCAGACTGCAGACTTGTGGAGGAGTTTGTGCTGGTATCGTTGCCTGGCTTTTAACACACCCTGACTCAACTGTTCTTAAGCATTCGCAAGCCACTGTCTTTAGAATTTGGGTTTGGCTTTTTTCTTTTTTGAGAAAATTGTATGTAACCTATAAGAAACTGTCATTTTTTTTGTTGCTTTGTGTTAGAGATCCAGTTTGGTTCTAGTCTCTGGGTGTAAGCGTGTTGTAGATGTGAAATAGTGAGGCTGGGCTGCAACAACCAGTTCTGAAACAGCCAGGAGAACCTCCTGAAGGCCTTGCTGAAGTCTGGCAGTTGAAGCAGCAGTGGCTTAAATGGAGACATGTGCCACTCTTGAACACTGAGCCATGAGTGGGTTGAGGGGTTTTGGTGGCTTATCTGTTTGTCCCTTTAAAAAGGAGTTTAGAAAAGAAAGGGAAGTATCCAGATGAAAACTTAGCAAGAAAGCACCAGGCACAGCCAGAGCAAGTGTGTCCCATGTCCCACATCAAGGGTATTGTCTATCACTTTAAAGAGATTTCAGTGAATTCCCTGATTCTGGTACTTGCCCTTGTTCCTTCTGGTTGGAATATGTTGTAAGACCTGTAGTATGAGTTGTTTTGGTCCTCCTGGCTGACATGCAGTGTTTATTTTAGTGTGTTTCACAGAGTTAGTGGATGGTTAGGAAAAGATAGCAAACATCGCTGTTTCAGTTTTAGAAAGGGAAACCTGAGCTAGGGGTCTATCGCTGCATAGGAGAGGGGACGACCTGCGGTCCTACAGGAGATCTGCTTCTGGCAGAGCGGCCCGAGCTGCAGGAGCCGGGCAGCTTGGACCTGGTGCTCTCCGTTGAGCAGCAGTGCCCTCCTGGTGCCCGAGGGGTGCCCTCCCAGCCTGGCCCGGCGCCAGTCAGCGTGGGTACTGTGGCAGTCCGGCAGCTGCGGTGTCCGAGGGCTGGCTTGAGGATGGCAGCGTAGATGTAAGTGCCGGAGGCGGTTGTGCGAGGCCTGATCCTGGCTCCGACGCCGGGAACTCACCCGCAGGCTCGGTGCTGTGTCCCTGTGCAGGCCGTTGCCTTGCAGCGTGCAGGGGTGCTTCTCAGAAGGGCATTCAGTAGGTCGGTCAAACTTACCACTGTGTAGGCAAAGTGACAATAAATGCGAGTTACTGGCCTCTTGTCATTAAGGTTTTTACTGTTGTTTCTGAATTTCACGCCTTTTGCGACTCCCCTAGTTTGTTCAGGACAGACCTGCTCTTAGGAGGGCAGCTCCAGCTGCCTGCTCAGGCTCCGCAGGAAACGGGACGCTCCAGAAACCGTGTGAAGCTTGCTTGTGAAGGTTTTAACAGCTTGCTTTCACCTTCCTCCGTTGTCTTACGGGCACTTGCACTTTGAATACTGATGTATACGGAAGAGATCTGTTCCATGCGTTACTAACTAGATCCTTGGCGTGTGCAGGATGCATGTGTCTGTTCCAGAACATATGTTTTGAAATAATTGCACCCATTCTTTTTACTGGGGGAAGGTAATTACAAAGACAAGCACATTGTATAATAGCCCCCTTTTTTATTTTTTTCCTACCGTACCAAGGTGTCCCTGACTGACTAAATGCCTTAAAGCAGGTTCTGTGGAGAGGAGGAGTGTTATTCATTAAGATTAGTAGGTGTGGCTGCAGGAAAATCAAGCAGCGCTGGTATAAGGTCTGACCTTTCAGTAAAGCTACGGGGTGCAGTGCAGCTTTGAGATGCTCTATCCAGTATGAGCTTCACTTACGTTTTGGCTGGGTGATTTCTCTCTCTGTTTTTGGACAAAGTGAAACCTGTTTTGGTAGGTGGTTTTTGCTGCTGGAGCTTAATCACCTCTAACTCTCTGACTTCCAGGTGGAGCACCAGTATTCACACATATTCACTGTGACAGTAAGGAAAGCCACCAATGTCACAAAAGGAGCGATTGGTGACATGCGTGAGTATTACTCTTTCTATTCTGCCTCTTTCTTCCAGGAGACTGTTGCCGTAGGCCGGGGGAGATGACACATCAAGCTTGTCATACAGTCAATGTTTGTTACTGAGTTGGTGGCTTTTTTGTTTGTCTTGCTTGTTAAAGCTCGGGCAAGGTACCCATTTCATCGCTCACTCATTCTAACTCAGAAAGCAGATTTGCCGCTCCTTTCCATTGATCCAAAAGAGCAGAGTGAGTTGTAAACAATTTTCCAACAAGCAAGCAACACCTACACTTCGTTTTTTGGCTCAGTCGGAAGTGCTGTTCTGTGTAGTGAAACTGGCAATTGCTGTATCTTCAAAAGGCTGTGGTTTGGTGGTGGGAACGCTTAAAAAGAAAAAAGCCCAGAGCTCTGCTGAGTCAATGCAGCGAGAAGGAAAAAAATCTGAAACAGATAGCAGAGCTTATGGTGGAGAGCTGTACAGGACACCAGCGCTGCTTCTCCTTTCTCTGAGGCTTCCGAGCCACCGGGCTCAGTAGCTGAGCTGGAAGCCACTAGGAAGAATGACCCGTGAAAACACTTTTCTGCTCGCCCGTCGGGTTCGGTTTCCGGCCGTGGTTGCTCTCCCAGCACACTCCTGGAAACTGATTTCAGGTCAAATAAGGCAGCTGCTCTGACGCTCGGCTTTGCTTTAGTGTGTTAACAGCTGGGGTTTTTAGTATCAGCAGTAGGCACTAATTACAAACTTGGGGGTAGGAGGGAGGGGCAGTTGGGAGGAAAATTAATGGAAAGAGAGAGACAGGTTCTGGGACACAGAGGTCTCTGGTGTGAGACGGTGTGGGGGACATGGGAAGGGAATAAAGGGGGTTGAAGTGAGGACCCCATGAGGTGATAGTAAAGGGAGAGTGGAAAGGGTGAAGAAAGGCAGAATATCATGGTGTGCCTCCCCCTCCACCCAGCACAAGTATGGCCCTGTAACAGAAGTCCCAAATATCTATTAATATAGTTGGGTTTTTTCCAGACAAAATGCTTATCTTACAGAATCATCAAAACCGAGAAGCTCCCCAGGAAGAACTTTTTATTTTGATAAAACCTGACAGAACTGTGCTCAAGGGCCCCTGAAATCTGCTTGGTTTCCTGTCTGAGGCAGCTACAATGGCTCCGAAGCCCGAGGCACCCAGAGTCTGGAGGCCTGGCAAATCCCTCAAAGTGGAAAAAAACCAGATGGTTGCTTCTGGCTTTGGGAAAGTGAAAAATGTTGTTATATCACATCTATATACAAAACGTGGTGTGTTGTAGGCTGGAAGCTATTGGGTCAAATCAGTAATCATGTGAAATGCTTAAGAAAGATGCATGATGCTGTGAGCGGTGGAGGGCCTTTAGGTGATTGTGCCAGCCTATATATCTAAATATTTTTGTTTGTTTGTTTTGTCAAAACTGTAACTTGTTGAAGGAATTTCTGAACTTTTACACTGAGCTGCTGATCTGCAGGATAGGATTCACTACCAGGGAGGGTGGTTATGAGATGCTGTGGTTGGGGTGGGTACCGGGGCGTCGCTCTCCCATGACAGACACTACCAAGCAGTTGGCTCTTCTGGTAGGTTTCTCCTGGTTTATTTTGCTGTTGTTGCTCCACTTTGTGTAGACAGTGACTGCTCTGTGGTCAAGAGAGGTAATTTTACGTTATGGTGGTGATGGGGGTCCTGGGGACATGAGAGACTTTGTATAATGTTTTGATTTTTTTTTTTTCTGTTACAAGGCTTTCTGGAATAGCTGTGAAAGATCTGAGTAAATCTAAGTTTATCAAATGTGTGGAAGTGCTTAGAATTTTGCCTCTGCTCAAGGAGTTTTAGGTGAGAGGTCTAGTGTGTGTGGTGCCCCATCTCTGTGGGTGGGCATGGAGGGCCTGGCTTCTCTGGCATAGCTATCCACACCATTGTCTCCTCAAGCCTAGGCTGGGGAGGCAGGCAGTATTTTAAGCAAATTTTCCAAGATTTCTTGAGCTCTTCATTAATGGAGAGCATAAATAGTTGTGTCATCCCTTAAACTAGGTGATAGATGCCCACTACACCGTCACTTCCACAGACACTGCGTTTCCTTGAGGGAACAGTTCACACGAGCAGCACTGCTGGTTCAAGGTGTATTTTTTAGTGTCCTGGCTGATCTGGGTCGCTGGAACAACAGAGAAAGCTGGAGCTTAGGATAGCTTCCAGCCCTCCATTTTTATTTTGTTTGGCTGAGATTTCCCATTGTTTCTGTAAGCTTTAAAACTTCTGTAGGGTGTTCTGACAAAGACAAGCAATCAAATCTGAATCTGGGTCATCCCAGGGTCTGAGCAGCTAAGCTACAGTAGCTGCTTTTGTTTCTCGCTGATAAGGCGCATCAAAATAAAAGAGAACAGCAATAATTGCATCATAGAAATTTTCCATGCAAATGCTTGTCAAATATGACGGAAGTTGGTGTACTTACACCAGTTTGTCGTTCTGTGACTGTGTGATAAAGGAGAATTACTGTAAGAACGCGTGACCTGGGGTGTCTGGGGGCGGGGGATGTTTGGAGAGCAGATTCCCTCTTTCCCAGGAGTTCAGTCAAGTCTCTTGTTTCAGGTGGCTGCCCACTTACTGCTGCCTTCCTGTAGGAGTACTTCCTCTACTGATTTCGCTTAGTTTAATCTCTGGTGTCCCTTTCAAGGTGACCCTCACATCCTAGGTACCTTCCTGTCAACGTCCGATCAATGCAGCCGTATCTTTACAAAACATTTAAATTCTGTTTCATTGGCTGCTGCTCTAATAGCTGCGCTCAGCTCTGCTGGCAAAGCCTCTTTACAGGCTGGAAGGCTGGAGGTGAGCAGCTGCAGCAGATGTGTGGGGTTGGGGGGGTTGGCGTGGGCGGCCCCCCGGCTGCCCATCAAGCCGCCGTGTCCCCCCCCCCTCCATCAACAGGACAGGGGCAGAAAATACAACGAGAAGCTCACGGGGGGCCGAGATGAGGACAGGGAGGTCACTTACCTGTTACTGTCACAGGCAAAACAGACTCAGTTTGAGGAAACTAAGTTATTGCCATTTAATTGTAACAGAGCAACAGAGCAGAATAGTTAGAAATAAAACTAAAAAACCCTTCCCCCTCCCCCCCCTTTCTTCCCAGGCTCTGTGTCACTCCTGACTCTTCAACATCCTCCCCAGGTGATGCAGGGGCACAGGGAATGGGGGCTGCATCCAGTTCACAACATGTCTCTGCTGCTTCTTCCTCCTCGCACTTTTCCCCTGCTCTCACATGTGGTCCCTCCCACAGCTTAAACTCCTTCATGACCTTCTCCAGCGTGGGCCCTTCCGATGGGCTGCAGTCCTTCACGAACTGCTCCGACATGGCTCCTTTCCACGGAGTGCAGTCCTTTGGGAGCAGGCTGCTCCAGCGTGGGTCCCCCCATGCCACAGTGCCTGCCAGAAAATCTGCTCCGGCGTGGGCTCTGTGCAGGCTGTGGCTGCCTTCGGGGCACGCCTGCCTGCTCCAATGCAGGCTCTCCACGGGCTGCAGCGTGGATCTCTGCTCCACCATGGTCCTCTGTGGGCTGGGGGGGTGTGACCTGGGTGACTGCGGGGGAATATCTGCTCCGGCGCCTGGAGCACCTCGTTCCCCTCCCTCTTCACTAACCTGGTGTCTGCAGAGTTGCTTCTCTCACGTTTTCTCCTTCCTCTCACAGCTGCTGTCCCGTGTTTTTCACCCTTTCTTAAATACGTTGTCACAGAGGTGCCGCCAGTGCTGCTGGTGGGCTCAGCCTTGGCTTGCAGCTGGTCCGTCTTGCAGCCAGCTGAAGCTGGCTCTGTCGGACACTGGGGACAGCTTCTGGTGTCTTCTCACAGAAGGCACCCCTGCAGCGTCCCTGCCCCCCTGCTGCCCAAAACCTGCCATGTAAACCCAGTACGAGATAGGATATCGCAAAATCTGTGCGGGTTTGGCGAGGATGTAATCATCTTAATTGCTAGCTTTCTGCTGGTCGCAGGGGTCAAAAGACCTTGTAAAATCACTTCTTTGGCTGGAGTTTTTGGAAAAGATCTTGCTTCTAGTCCAGTGAGTTCTTATATAGAGAATGTTTAGTTTTGAACCTATTCCAGATACCACATCATACCATAAAGCCTTTCCTTCCATAACGGTACAAGAACTTGTAAAAAAAGACCAGAATCTCAAGCTGCGGCATTCTGGAAGAGAAGTGCTTTCAAACTGTGGTGGTTCTTCCCATAGGATGTCTCCTCTTCTGGATTTTCAGGGGGATTGGTGGAAAACTGGGCCAAAGGAAGTATTGTAAAATTTGTCTTGCATCTTTAAAGATCTGTTTTTCTTTATTTCTGTAAGTATACTGGCTGTCAAAACAGTTGCTAGCATCTACAAAGAAAACCAGTTGTATGACTCTACTCTTAATGATCACCAATCTTGCTTAATCCTGTTTAGGATTTGCAGCTTTCATTTGCTTCATCTACTTTTGATGTTACGACAATAACCAGTTCTGGGCATTTTAAGGAAACAGTCTTTTCTTAAAAACAAAAACGTCTAAAGTTTGGATAGCTCCTGGCACTAGTACTCAGCTTCTATCCCGGTTTCTGTCCACCCAGTTGGAATGAAGGATGCATTCCCACTGCAGTTAGGCTGCTGTGAGCTGTAGCTCTTGGTGTTGAAGCTGGTGTCTTTAAAGCCAGAGTCAGAGCAGTCTCGTGCAGTTTAGGAATGTGTATGCAGCGTTTTAGATCTGAGCTGGCTGAAAGGGAAGGAATGGGAGATTTGCCTGTTTGTGTTAGAGCAGGGACACAACAGTCTGTGTTACAGCAGCCGTTCAGGGCTAATCCAGCTGTTCTCTGGACCACAGCTGGCTGGCCTTGCACCCTGACTTAGCTACAGTATACTTGATCTAGCTGTGGAAATGTCATCGGAGAATGCTCTTCCTGCAAGGCTGTGAAGCAGGACCTGATTTTTGCAAGGGAGCTCTAAGAGGAAAACAAGCCAAACTCCTCCCCTTTGCCAGGCTGACAGC